GTCCCGATAATGTCATTGGATTTTATTCAATTGACCTAATCCTTCCGGCCGCACTACGCCCTGGGGTTTACTCAGCCTCTAACAGAAATGAGTACCAGGAATATTCCTGGGGAGTAAAGCGCGGCCGGCATGTAAGGCTGACAACCTTACCGCCATCTCTGAGCCGATTGTATAGATAATGTGGGACCCCTAACGTCTCACAGCCCTATGGGCCCTCACAGACTGTTACAGGGATAGCTTTACTTTTTACTTTTTTACTTTTTACAAGAGGTATGGGGATTATGGTCGACAGGCACATACGCTCGCTTCACGGTAGTTTATTAGTGTGCTTTTTTTCCTACAGCCCCAATTTTGGCCTTGGCCTGCCTCCATTAAACTCTCTTTTTCACTTCGGTTCACTAGATCTTAGACTCCTTGGGCCGGTGATCAGCTCGTCACAAGGCCTCCACCTGTACAGAAACACAGAAAACCGCACACACACACACACACACACACACACACTAAACATCCATGCCCTCAAAGAGATTCGAGCCCACGATCCCGGCTTCCCAGCGAGCGAAGACAGTGCACGCCTTAGACCGCTCGGCTACCGTGACCGGCTTATTAGAGTGATAACTGAAGAAAAATTGTAATGTGTATAGCGCGTTTGTCGATTCCACTACTACTAGCCCGAGATACTCCGAGAAACACCTGTCTCTCCTGCCTGAGAGGCAGAACAATTTTGAAGTAGCTCTCAAAATACCTCGCTGTCTTGTCCGTCCAATTTTATTCTACTCCACATTTACGTTCTGTCGGATGTCTCACAAGACCGGTACCAAAGGCAATATGTTCAGTATGTCCACCGTTCACGCAGACACAAAAGCGCAACCTTTTTTCTTTTTACCAGTCCAAGAGAAGGGCGTGTATTGTCTCTGCCTTATAATGACAGCTCCTTCTTGAAGATGCTGTTATTTTTGGTTCCAGACACTCAGTAAAGAAGAACTAAACGGAAATGGACATTAATTGTAGTTTTAATTTTAGCGAATTTAAATAGTGTCTTACAAATACCGTTCAGATTGTTATGGCTGTGGTATATATCATTGCAATGGCATTTTATTTGTACTGTATCTGTTATCAGGGATTTCCTTCTCCTTCGTCTTCCACGCTTAACGCCCTCTGGTCTGTTCAGAATTGAATTCAATTATGAAACTATTCAGATTATATTTCCTGGAGGACACCTGGGATGGGGGATCAGCCCAGGCCTCTGTTTGCACACGAAAATAAAGGCACAGGAAACGGAAGTGATATACTCATGTCCCGAGTGGGATTCCAACCCAAGATTACGTTGTTCAGGCAGTTAGATGGTACACGCCTTAGGACACGCAATTCGAGTGATCTGCTCACTGTTCGTTTTCAAAAATGAGATTATAAAATTGTTACTTACCCGTGTGGAGGCAGGATCGGGGTTAGTGTAGTCGGTATAGCAACTGGCTACGGGCTGGATGACCGAGGGGTCAGAGTTTGAGTCTCGGTAGTGTCAAGAATTTCCTCTTCTCCACGTCGTCAAAACAGGTTCTGGGGTCCACTCAACCTCCTATCCAATGGGTACCTTGGGTAAAGCGGACAGGGTGTGAAGCTGACCACTAACTGCTAGCTAGTGCCGAGGTTAAGAAAGTGTGGATCTATACATCCAGTGCCCCATACACCTTAATGGCGTTGCGCTTAATTAATTAAGCAAAGGGACAACTTTATTTGTTTACCCGTGTGGAGGCGGGTTAGAACACCTCCAATTTAGTTCTGCGAGTCGTAGAAGGCGACGAACCAGGAACTTGGGCCTGGGGGGTATAGCCGAGCCACCCTGTTGCCGGGGGGGGGGG